GGGCATCCACGACTCCTGCTCCTCGCAGAATTCGAACCCGGGACCTTCGGTATTGTGCGCGAACACCTTATCATCGGACCACTGGGCCGGCATCCAACGGTGTTAATGTCTAACTCTGATTGATCTAGGGATTTTGCGCGACCTGACCCATTTGTGTTTTTTGGTAGTTACTGCCTACACACGACAGGGTTGAACTCTATTGGTCACATCTTCTCAACGCCTCCAAAACTCTGCCCCAAAATTTCTATTTTGTTAATAATGACATTATCGTGCGAAATACTCAACCCATTATCATATATTTGATTGGTTCACTCAAAGTTATCAATATACCATACGTTTACCGTCACGTATAAGAACAGAGGATGGATGAATAAACATCTATTTCGAAATCAAAACATTTATTTGAAATGGATCATTAAGATGACATTAAATCAATCCTTGGATGAAAGTGTTGAGGAGAGTATTTATAAGATATTTACTGATTTCAAATCGTATCATTCAATCGAATGCATTCTGTTCTTATCTTGAACCTAATCTGATTGTTTTTTTTCTTGTCTCCTAGTATTTGTATAGTTGAATTTCGTTTGTATATCTTAATAGATGTTTAGTCAAATTATTCTAATAGATAATATAGATTTAGATAAACTTCATTTTCTTATTGCATTATAAAAAAAATTTATTTATTATCAAAAGGTACACACACTACTATGAACTTACATCATACACTTCAGTATATAAAAGTGCAAATGCCGGTTGAGCAGTTCCATTAACTAAACAACAAAAGCAACCTATGATTATTAATGGTAATTCAGGTTTGTTAAGTTCTAGAACTCTCATTGTAGGAGACTTTTTCGCCTTCATTAACTGTATAAATAAAAATAATAAGAACTTGTCATGAATGATTATTGACATATCAATATTTTTTCGAAATTTGCATTAAAGGGTTGTGAAAATTGTTAAGCTATACCATGTTTGAAACCATGAATCGATCAATGTTAGACTACCATTAGAAACCTGAAGTACTGAAAGATAGCCGTTTCGTCCTGGTATAGGACTCCTCAGCAGCGCTCATCCACGACTCCTGCACCTCGCAGGGTTCGAATCCAGGACGTTCGGTATTGTGTGGGAACGCCTGACCATCGGACCACTGAGCCGGTATCTAAAGGTGTTAATGTCTAACTTGATCAATTCATGGAGTTGCGCAACCTCATACACAGTCTTCGGTAGTTACTGTCTATACCCGAACAGGTTGAACTTCACTGGTCGTAATGTTTACTTAGAATATGTGTATGCGATTGTTCACACCTGGAAAATAAGTACAGTGAATACGTTTCAGATACACCTAAGATAGTCTAATAACTTCCAAAAAGTTAAGAGAAACGTATTTTAGGAAGAGATCACTCAAACTTCAAATATTCTCGTACTCTGAAAGTTTGAATAGTTTCAAGTTGTAAAAAAGATTGAAAACTGTTGAAAAACACTCCAGAATCAATTACTAATGTGGTTGAGTAGCAGCGTGTATCTGCAATTACGATAAATGATAGTTTGAAAGCGATTTGAACTGGTACACATTAGAGGAAGATTTATGAACGATACTACTATGTCAATCTAAAAAAATAGCCCATCAAATTATGTAATAACCAAAATCAATAGAATTAAATCAGCCAAAAATGTTCAAAAACATGACAGACCGATGTATCATTTCAATCATCATGATATTAGTAAAAGTAGGAAGAATGATGAGAAGTATCCTAATGTATAATTACTTGTTTTAGTCTTGTTATTGCCCCTGAAAAACACAACTACAACTATATTAATTCATACATAAACATACATTATGAAAACTGAAATTATTTCTAAAAATCTTCCGAAAAAATTTAATAACCTTGAAAATAGCCATTCTGCTATAGGTGCTATAGGTGTTCACTGTTAACCTGTTACTTTTTTATTAACTATGTCCAGAAGTTGACCTTGAAGCTAGTTCATTTAATTTGGCTGATAACTTTGAAAAAAAGAGAAAAAACTATTTCATATATTTCTCACACTATCATCATCAATTAGGTCATTCACTATTCTCTCTAACGTAAAACAACAACAATGGTTCATATCAATCACAGAATATTGATCTACTCTCTTTTGGCAAAGTTGACAATGCAACTGATTAACACATTACTCTGTGTATTTGCAAACTTAATATTTCAAAAGTCAAAAAATAATAATAACTATTGGTGATTAATTATGAAACAGATTGTCAAATATACCTTAGCTCGTAAAGTTTGTGATATTGAATTCATTGACATACTTCTACGTGGCAAAGTTCCAGTACTTTGAGATATGTTCTAAAACGCACACATAAATATTTTCAATTTAATAATAATAATAATAATAATAATAATAATTTAAAAAGCATAGTTTGTTTTATTTGTCATGTTAATAAGTCAGTACAAATAGCCATTAGTTTTTTGAAAATGCTTCACTGTTCATAGCTTGTTTCAATGCTTGCTATCCATTGATGGATGTAGAGTTAAGTCGTATTTCGAAATGCTTGACTTTTAGATTACAATCAACTGTGACGAGAAACATAGATGGCATGAATCAAATATCGAAACGTTCAACCGATTTCATCATTCTTCTACTATGTTAGATACATAATACGTAACTATCATCTCTCTCTCTCTCTCTCGTTTAAATCACTCTTCTGTTTTTTTTTACTAATTATGAAGGGATTAACTGTGTTTTGTTTTACAATAAGAATACCTAACTATTCTGAAAGTCTTTGTAACACAACAGAAGTTAAAATCATTTCATGTAGTCAGTTTTTTGTGTGTGTGTGTGCGTATGTGTGTGTGACTGAAATAAGGTTGAGGAGAAAAATAAAAAAATTTCAAATACTCTGCAAACGAGAAAAACACTGAATGAAAGATTATCCATCAATGAAAGAAACGCTTATCATGGCAGTTACCTACACCTACCTCTAGATGACCAATACAAGTTATCTATGTATGCATAAATTTATGTCGACACCTTATGAATAGTGCACAAATTTGATAGTATTCTGTTTATTATTATTATTATTATTATTATCTGTCAGAGGATAAAATTATTTTTTCACTGTAAAATATTTTATTCATTTTATACAAATCGATTGAGGGCATGTTCAAAAATTTCAGTACACGAAACGAAAATTGGAAATTTGGATTGGATTCAATCTGAACTTTCTATTATAATCAAACTAAACATTTAAAAAGGGGGGAGAATCTATATTAAGATTTAAAGGAACTAGTAATACTTATTGCAAGTCCTTCATAAAAGTACCGAAAGAATTGACAATAAAAACATGAAAACAAAAAACAAACAAACAAAGTTTAAATATTATCAAAACTGCTTACTTCTAGATCATCTTCAATTCTCCATACTTTGCTCATTTTTTTCGGAATTGTTGTCACTTTGTCGAACTGATCATCGGGTTCTTGATCAGATACTTCATCATCTTCATTTGCAGTTTTGTCGATTAATCCCTAAATGATAGTTAATAAAGGGTTTATTTTTAAAAAAATTAATCAATAAAATGAAAGTGAAAAATAAGCTAGAAAAAATAATTGTTGGTAAAATTAATTTTAAAGCTTAAAGGAAAAGAGGAAGGCCAAGGAACATATTCCACCCGACAAATAGAGAAAGATATGAGAAGAATGAACAAAAATTGGACAGAACTGGAGAGGGAAGCCCAGGACAGAGTTGGTTGGACAAAAAACTGGTCGGTGGCCTATGCTCTATAGGGGGTAACAGGCGTAAGTAAGTAAGTAAGTAAGTAACCAATATTTTCGTTTGAATTACCAATATTCACAGTATACAGAATGTGGTTAATGTCTGGTAATGTCTGATGTGATTCCATTACAAGACAAAAACTTTTAGTGATTTGCGACAGAGATAAACATAGACAGAAAATGAGTGTTCCTATTACTAGAAAGTGCAGTAATAATAAGGCAACCACTGTAAACACAAGACAAATATAAAATTCATACCAGTCACAACTGAAATATGATGCGTTACATCCTTAAAGTTAGTCAGTTTTTGAACAACCCCATTGGAAGACCTTTTAAGAAAACGTGAATTTTGGGCTGATTAGATGGGAATTGTATTCTTTAGTATAAGCATTTTGTTCATTTACTGGATTACTCTGATAATCAACTATGTGCTTAGTGGACATGATTGAATCGGAGAAACCAATATTGGATTTGTGTTACTGATTAAGCTCAGTGGGATCATTTTAAAATATATTACATATCATTTATCTAAGTACAAGAAGTTAGTCAAAGACGACTGTCTTTGAATCTTATTAGCATTACACATCAACTACCCAGATGATTAGTGCAACAGTTATGCTACACTTATTGTCCAGATAAGAGAGTTTCAGAATTTTATCGATAAAGAAAGTCGTTTATTTCAGCAACTGCAGTTTTCATCTCTCATCAATCTTCTAAAAAAAAATGGAAATGACTCCATAGATCACATGGATAAGTGAAATTAATTTTGCATGTTTTGATACCTTCGATTGAAACACCAAATCCTGTTATGATGTTAATAACCGAACGACTGTTTAATGATCAGTATGAAAATATAATATATATATTATCAACAGTTTTAGCAAATTGTAAAATGTTTAACTTAGGAAAAGTTTATTTTTTTCGAGCATGATGACAAAAAATACGGGAAGCAATCGTAACTAGGTTTTTTGCAAAACATATCAACTCTAAGCATCTGAAATTTATAGCTAGCTACATTTAACTAGAAAAAATTTGACCAGTGCTCTTTGGAGGAAAATTCACCACCAGTTAGTAAATATGTGAAACAGTTACAACTAACAATCCTTTATAGTGTGCATACATTTTTTACAGTAATTTATGAATTTATTGTAGAAATCATTGATTAGGTTGTACAATAAACTGGTATCAAAAACATTTTAAATTTTACTAAGTGTATACGCCAAAATTTATAAGTACCTGATTACTAAGCATCGCAGCATAAAGGCCATTTTGACATACAAGTTCTTCATGTGTTCCAGACTCTCGAATCACTCCTTTATCAAGAACAATTATCAAATTTGCATTACGAACTGTTGTTAGACGATGAGCAACAACCACAACAGTTCTTCCTTCACTTGCTTTGTCTAAAGCCATTTGAACAACACGTTCAGACTTAGTGTCAAGAGCTGATGTTGCTTCATCCAACAGCAGTAACTTTGGTTTTCTAATCAAAGCTCGAGCAATTGCTATACGTTGTTTCTGACCACCTGACATTCCGCCGCCCCGTTCACCAACAAAAGTGTCGTATGCCTGAATTAACAATATAATATAAAAAATTACAACTTTTAGTTAAGGAAAAAAATAATAGTTTTAAATAAATGAGTTTACTTCCAATACTATAGAGATGACTTACATCTGGGAGCTGTCGAATGAACTCATGAGCATTTGCAAGCTTTGCAGCTTCTTCTATCTCATCTTGAGTTGCATCAAGCTTTCCTAACCTTATATTATCCCTGATAGTTCCTTCAAATAGCACCGGTTCTTGTTGTACACAGCCAATTTGATTACGATAGGCTTTTAGGTCCAAATTTTTGATATTCTCCTCTTCAATCAGTATCTAAAATATCAAGTATGAAATAATAATAAATCCTATAGAGATACTGAATTTTTGTTTGTTGATAAGATTACTACCCTACATCTTAATTAATTCAGAAAACTTTAGTAGAAATATTATCGCACCAGTCAATTTCAAAGAAATTATGAATAGTTATCATTCATAATTCTTCAAATTTTACAATTTAATAACAAATAAAACTGTTGCATCAACGATAGTGCATAACATAGATTCAAATAATAATGTAAGGTATTTCAGCATGGATATAAACTGGGGCATAATTTCTATGAGAATTTCAAAAATATATAGCAGAAAAAAGACTGATCTATAGAGCATCTTTAAAGAAGGACATACCTCACCGCTTACAGGATCATACAATCTTTGTAACATGTGAATAATGGTGCTTTTACCGGAACCACTTGGTCCAACCAAAGCTACAGTTTGACCACTTTTTATAGTTAGACTAAAATCTTTTAAAATCTACAAAATAGATATAGATATGCATCAATACAAGAAATGTAATTACCAGTACATGAAGTATACAACATGAATCGTAATTAATTACGTCTCAAAGTGTAAGAACAAGTTTTATTTCCATTTGCGTTAATTACTAGTCAGTATTAAACGTAATAGTATTGATAGATCGTTTTGCTAATTCAACAACACAAAATAGATATAATTTACTCTGAACGGTGAAATCTAAAGATAGATTTCTGTAGAAATTTATTTATACAACAATCTAGCCGAGAAATAATCAAAATCATGCACAAATAATCTGTGAGAAAATATTTGAAGCTAAAAAATCTCTATTATAAGGTTGTAGAGATAGTTGAGTTTCATGGAAATTCACAACCCTCTCGTGAAAATTGCCATGCATACACTAGTGAATCACTTAGTGATTAAATTCTAGGAGTTCTAGTGAAAAGCCAAGATCAGTGCCTGGTGTGAGGCAGCTATCTATCGAAGACAATGGATGAGGTTACGCATTGCCGCGGATTGATTAAAGTTAGACATTAACACCGTTGGATGCCAGCTCATTGGTCTATAGTTTAAGCATTCGTGCGCGAAACCGTAGGTCCTGGGTTCGATTCCTTCGTGCAAAGGTAGTGGATTAGCACTACTGGTGAATCCCATGCTAGAACGAAACGTCAGTCTAGTGCTTTCAAGATTGTGATGATGGTCTAAAGTTGATTCAATTGTTTTCAAAGAAACGAAGTATTATTTTAACTTATGGATAATTAAATTGCAAACGCTTTTCTCTTTTTTTGTCAGAATTTATTTCAGAATACTAACGTAAGTTACGAAAATGGTATATACTGGGAAAAATTTTGTTATACTTACAGTAATATTTGGTCTACTTGGATATACAAAAGAAACATTCTTAAATGTAACATTCCCAGAAAAGTTTGGAACAAGATTTCCACGGTGGTCTTTATCAATTTGAGGGATCTAAATTAAGAATAAATAGATCATACATTAGTTATTTACTTCATAATAAGTAGCAATCAATTCAATCCGAAGATCAGTAGTTAATTAATATCAGATATGTATATTTCAAATTGAATCTGAAAATTTAATGCATTTATGAGATAATAGTAATAATATAGAACTAGTGAGTTAACTTCCTATTTCATTATAGTTTAAAGGTAAACTTAAATTTCTGCTTTGCCTTTTTTTTTAAATACAACTTTCATTTTTATTTGAGAATTGGTACAGTAGATCATTGTATTATCTCTTTTCCCTAAACTGAGACACCTAGAGTGCCTTTAGGGTTTTATATGGACTATCTATCTACCTAAGGATTGAAATCGCTGATTAATTTATCTGTGCCTTTAGCTTTTTTTAGGGAACCACAATCTGGCTTTGATTTGGACGAACAATTGAATATTTTATCAGATAAATCATCTAAGTTGTGTACAATTATTCTTGGGGCAAACCCTGTTAGCGAGCATTAAAAGCCCGATATGGTTTATTTCGGATGTATTTATTTCATACATTCACTTAAGCAGACTGACAACGATGTGAATCGAAGAAGGCGAGTTAGCCAACTCATTGTGATGAGATATGACTAAGATTTAAGGTGAATGATTTTCAAGGTTAAAAGGCATGTGAATAATAACCCGTAGAGGAAAGATTAATTAGTTTGTCCAAAAACTAGAACAAGCCGTATGGGCTCAACATATTACACACACTATACTTTGTAACGAAGAATGGAAACTGCCTTTTGAACTTAATGCTATAACTAAATTAGCATGACCGCAGGGTGTAGCAGTGAAACCTCAAGATATACGAAGTGTAAATAGGGCTGGTTCTTTATGCTGACAAGCAACGTTAAATGAATGTTCGTACTTGGATCCGGTATGCGCGATTCAATGGCGTAATATACACAAATAACGCAAGATTCTAGACTCCTATTTTCCTATCTGATACAAAGTTAGAAATTGAGAGCTTCAGAATTTAGTTCAGTGCGCGATTTTAAGAAGCCAGAAATAGCATCTCGCGAATAGGAATCATTAGCATTGATGGATCTTGACGGTATAAACATACGAGAAGAGTTTGCCATGGATATCATAAAATTATCATTAAGTGAAGGATTTGATTATGAACAAGATCCTTTCGGGTGATGTGGAATGATAGTTCTTCTTGAGGGACTTGAAAAGGAGACTGGGAATGTGACTGCATAGTCCAAGGAGCAACTGATTTAAGCTGATCCAAATCCGTTTCTCCATGAGTTTCCAATCCATCCGCTCCCTAATTCAAAGAATCCCACCAACAGAGACGAAAATCCTCGAAGTAATGTGAGATGACATTTTTAAGCTCTGTCTTTGCTAACTCCTTTCTTTCTTTATGAGAGGGTGGAATCTTTGCAGATGCTCGGTGTCTGGAGGAATTACATTGCCGATCTGCAGTCAGCAGTAAAGAGTTAGCAAATTGAACTTAAATTTATGCTTTTAGACTTACCGCCTTTCTAACCACCATGCTTAATATGGTAAGACCTAGAGGAACATGTGGGCCAGCCAACATAACTCAACAAGCAAAACCGACCACCACATCAAGGTAGTAGCTACGGTTTGTAAAAAATCATTCTCTTTATTCATCACGCTTGACGAATATAAAGGTACCATAAACATTTCCCACTATATATGCAACGTGATAATAACGTTTATCTCAAAACCTATTTTCATTTATTAATTCAGCCTTAAACATGTCAGTGGTTCGATCACAACAGCGTCGCGTAAAAGTTAGTAAACAAACTTACACGCTCAATAGTATCAAAAATTTCAGCAGCTGATGCTTGTGCATTCATAAAATATTGAAAACTTGGTAGAGCATTGCCAAGAAAAATACTTCCCAATAGAACATTTATAAAAATCTGAAAAAGCAAAATAGTTACAGAGTACAGAATTTTAAGGCTCTTTCTTCCATTTTGAAATTGCTGCTTTTACAATAACACAAATATACACATACAATAAAATGTGCATTGCCACTGAAGTAATAAATTGTTCTCAGTAATATTTACTGTTTGAACTCATTTTTAAGTGCATCAAACAGCCACTGATCGATAAACGTCCATAATATATGATGAATCTGGTAAGTTTTTCAATATCAATTCAATCAACTAATGAGAATAATGGAATCGAATCCAGTTTTATTCGCGAACAATCTTTTTCAAATCAATTATAGAAATATGGTTTGTTATTTTAGTAAGCCACCACCAGTCTTAATATATTTTTAAATGATTCATGTGAAGTAAAGGAAGACTTATCATAGTACTTATAGTAGAAGAATAAAAACTATAAAGAAATGAATATTTTATTCTCGATGAATTCATTCAGCTAATTTACCAGTTGTGTAAGTTAAACTGGAAAGGTGTAGAAAATAAAGGTTTAGGACATGGTAGAATAAGTTACTGGTCTTCCGTACAGTCTTTTCTAGTCAGATTTTAATTGGTAGTTGTGTGAAGAACAAGATTCAGCTTTCAGCATCTGATTTTTAAAATAACCTATAACAAGGTACTAACTACTCTAATCTTTTAACTGTTTAACACTATCCGTTTTACTACTAAAGTCTCCAATGTTAGCGTATAAATTATCTGTAAATATAATTGTAGAACTTAAATAAATGAATTTGTCGAAAATAAAATTTTCCTTTCTAAATAGTATTTATTCCTTGTTGACTAGTCTCTCTATACCACTTGACCTGCGAAAATCAACACGTGGACTTTTTACATCCCCATAAAAAAATATCCGTGATAAATTTGAATGATTCTAGAACACTGATCGTATGACACGATCGAATAACATAAATACACTCGCTCATCAGATTTTCTTCACCTGTTTATATCCTAGAAACATTTCATCCGGATGATTTGAGGATGTAGTTGATTGCCAAATAATCTTACAGTTAACACGCGAAAGGGTGTTAAACGTTCAACAAAAAGCTTCAGTTTCAGCAAAAAAAATGACTGAATTTGTGAATGTTAACTGTTTTAGACCACTTTCCTCAGTCAGGAAAAATGGAAACTAATGCATTATTTATATGTCGTCGATTTATCTATCCTGGATTATGAAGACGTCGACATCTGGAGGGAAGCACGGTATCCAATGAACAGACAGGATGCAGCTGGAAGATCTGGACTTCGCAGATAATCTGGTTCTTCTGTTGCACACGCAACGACAAATGCAAGAGATGACGACCAGTGTAGCAGCAGCCTCTGCAGCAGTAGGTCTCAACATACATAAAGGAAAAAGCTGAATTCTCCGACGCAACACAACATGCGCCAATCAAATCACTGTGGATCGACACGCCTTAGAGGACGTCAACACCTTTACATATCTTGGCAGCATTATCGACAATCAAGGTGGATCCGATGCAGATGTGAGGGCGCGGATTGGCAAAGCAAGGGCTGCATTTCTACAGTTGAAAATATCTGGAACTCCAAAGAAATATCAATCAACACCAAAATCAGGATTTTCAATACAAATGTTAAGACAATTCTACTGTATGGGGTGGAAACTTGGAGAACTACGAAAGCCATCATCCAAGTGATACAAGTATTTATGAACAGTTGTCTTCGCAAAATACCTCGGATTCGTTGGCCAAACACTATCAGCAACAACCTACTGTGGGAGAGAACAAACCAGATTCCAGCATTGGAGAAAATCAGGAAGAAGCAGTGGAAGTGGATAGGACACACACTGTAAAAAGCACCCAACTGCGTCAAAAGACAAGCTGTCACATGTAACCCTCAAGGTCAAAGAAAAAGAGGAAGGCCAAGGAACACATTACTCTGAGAAATAGAGAAAGATTTAAGAGGAATGAACGAAAACTGGAATGAACTGGAAAGGGAAGCAAAGGACAGAGTTGGTTTGAGAAAACTGGTTGGCAGCCTATGCTCTATTGGGTGTAACATACATAAGTTAGTAAGTTGATCTATCCCCATTCTTATTTAAAGTGTCTATCAGACAATCAAGATCAAAATAGGTCTTACGTTTAGAATTTTTACCTTCATAGAAAATATATATACGAATGATGATTCAAGTTTGCAAAAAATGACAACACACATACCAATATTACAGATCCTGAATTATAGTTTTCGTCTATCATTAATTTAATACCATACCAAAATATCAATGCAGAAGAACAAAAAATGACTAATCCTACAGCACCAGTTACTAAAATAAAAAAAAAGACGAAAAAACAAAAAAGCGAAATTACAAATTTTAATTATTAAGTTTACTGACTGGACTGTAGATTTTGTGTCTAATTTCATCAAAAAAAAAAAAAAACGTTTGGCCTAATTGTGTGAGGGCACGGATTGGCAAAGCGAGGGCTGCATTTCTACAGTTGAAGAATATCTGGAACTCCGAACAACTTTCAAACAAAACCAAAAAATCAGGATTTTCAATACAAATGTCAAGATAGTTCTACTGTATGGAGCGGAAACATGGAGAACTACCAAAGCCATCATTCAGAAGATACAAGTGTTTATTAACAGTTCTCTTCACAAAATACTTCAGATTCGTTGGCCAGACACCATCAGCAACAACGAACTGTGGGAGAAAACAAACCAGATTCGAGTGGAGGAGGAAATCAGGAAGAAGCGGTGGAAATGGATAGGACATACACTACGAAAAGCACCCAACTGCGTCACTAGACAAGCCCTCAGATGGAACCCTCAAGGCAAAAGGCAAAGAGGAAGGCCAAGGAACACTACGCCGAGAAATAGAGAAAGATATGAGGGGAATGAACAAACATTGGACAGAACTGGAGAGAGAAGGCCAGGACAGAGTTGGTTGGAGAAAACTGGTGGGCGGCCTATGCTCCATTGGGGGTTACAGGCGAAAGTAAGTAAGTAAGTAATTGTGTAAATATAAATACTTGTAGAATCTGGCAAAGATACAAATGATCTGTTTAGAAGTACACCTTAAGAAAACATGAAACCTAATTAGTTATTAAATCGTCAGATTTATGAAAGCTAGATAAGAACAATGTATTCAAATAGAGAACTAACTCTTAGGGTAACCAATACTAGTATTGAATAAATTGTCTTTAATTAACTCATATCTATTAGACTCAACAAGAGATTATAATGGAACAAACACTTCTATGAAGAAAACTCGATTGGTGAAAAATAAAAAACATTTACTATTGTATTAATTTTGTTTAACTATTACCAAAAACACTTTCTTGCACGGAATGTTCTTTTTTCGCGTTGCTGCCATCCTTGATAATTTGCTGCTCTCTATGTAAAGTCTACTTTCTCCTTCAAATAAATATTGGAGCTTGGATTGATTTCTATAATTTGTAATTGTATATTTAGTGGTGATCATAGTCAATCTTGATTCGGTCACCATTAAAAGATTTTTATTACGTTTTTTTTGTTTTTTAATTCAGAATAAAATCGTACATAACATTTTGTAACAGTAATGTCGTATTTCAGGATAAACGGATTCATCTGTGTTCACATAATATTTTGATTAAGTTAGACGGATTTTGTAGTGGACTTAATAAATAATAATTTTCTTAAAGAGTTGTATATTATAACAATAATCATTTATTTGTTACTGATAATTTATTAGTGAAGACTGTAAAATAGTAATGAATATTGAAATATTCTATATTTTTAGCATACAAAATGTTTTAATGAAAATCATACGAACGTAGTAAGTATGTTGTTTGTAGCATATCTACTAGTCCAGTCAGTTAGTCAAACGTGTCTTGGAAATTGATACATGTTGCAATAATCTCATTAGGACAACCATTTGAAATCGTTAGGGTAAATGGCAAATATTAATAAAACTAGTATTAGCAACCCCAGTAATGAAAGAAAAACAGCTGCATAGCCAACATATAATTTGAAAAATTCTAAAGTTGAGAAATAATTAAAAACTAGTATGAACAATTTAGGAACTTAGAATTCATTGGAAGACAAAGTGAATGCTAGAAGAACAATTTCGACCAATATCGCTTAAAGTCTCTAACCATTGGCTACGATGAATAAGTGGACCTCAAATAGTCTGCACTTATCTATTTGGCTTAGTTCAACTGTCGTCGTCTTCAAGAAGTGAAACCGTGAACTGGTTTGGTCACCTCTGGCTCTTTCCCAAACTACTTCTATATAGTCGCCTGTCAAGGTAGTGTTTGGAGTAAAGTTCAATCTGCCAAAGGATCAGTGCCTCGACGAGCTATGTTTTGTGGTGTAGGAGTAGATTGGAAGAAAGTTAGGGGCGGCCAAACCAAAACATGGCACAAATCTATGAAGTCACTGACAAGTGCACTGAGTCATGTTGGTAGATGTAGGCTACGTGGTTGGAGTCCGCGAGACGAAAGTCATCAATGGTTAGAGACCTTGAACGACGTGGCTCAAAATCGTTTGCAATGGCGCAAGTGCATCCACTCTTTGTGTTCTCTCAAATCCTAATCTTCTGGATCCATCAGTACCTCTACGTTTGCCTTTCCAACCTTATCTCACTAAATTATACTTCTTGAATAAAATCTTCAAACCCTAGTCTTTATCATTACCATTAATACCTTTACTATCTTTATCACTATGGGATTTGATTTGATATTTGCGTCTCTGTGCTAATGTGATATGGCAACCTGAACTTATGTACATACGTACGAAGTTCTACGTTGCAACTGACTGACTGACGGGGAAATCAAATAAAACAGATTTGTCAAGACAATCTCTTGAATTTTCTCTAACCATGAATCTTCTTTTTCATAGTTTGAAATTTAAAGTTTACACCAGAATTAGTTTAATTCGTAAAACTACTTTGGTATTCATTTACATAGTAGTAGACAAAATTTATATCTATTCACAACATATTCTTACCTCCACCAGTCGCCGTCGACTTTTTTAGTCCAACCTTTTCTGCAAATACTAGCTGTTTACTATATCTTGCTAGCTCTTTCTGCTCACCACCAAATGCGATAACAGTACGTATAGATTCTAAAACTTCACCAGCAATTGCACCTGCCCGTGCATATGCAGCTATTTCTTTAACAGTGAAATATTTCATAATGAAACCGAAACATCCAAAAACTCCAGCAATAAAAGGCAACATGGCACAAGCAACTAGAGTGAGTTTCCATCCCACCGTAAAACTTATTATGATGCCTACTATGAAGCCTGATATGTATTTTATAAAGCCTGCGAGCGTCGTTCCTATTCCACGTTCAATGAGCTCAATATTCTGGGAGAGTTTGCTAATCAGTGATCCAGATGAGTGGTCATCATACCATGCAATATCCTGTCGCAAAATACCCTAAATAAGAACATGATTTAAAGAGAAATCAAACTTCATTAAATTAAAAGTCGAAACTTTACATAAATTATTTGCAATATACAACATTTACGTCAAATGAAATTCAGATTTTTATTCATCAATATTTAATCAGGCTCTAGAACCAAGTGAACCAAGTTGATACGGTTCTTCCAAATATTCTGTAATATTTAGTTAGTTGCTCATATAAATTTGAGACTAATACCTTTCTCAATGACTATCTTAACGCACACTTTGAATCTAAACAAGTTATGATTCTATTCTAGTTCATAAAAATTAAACAATCTATTACAGTGTAGTTAGGTCAATCAAATAAGGAACCACACATGAACTCAATTTGTACACAATGGTAAGGTGGTGGAATCTCTAACATCTTCTTACAAAGTTAACGTGAAATTTTTCATTGCTTTAAAACAGAGGAGTCTAAGACTTCCATTATTTGTAGGAAAATATATTTTGTACAATATTTACTTCTATCAAACTGTTAATTATATTGAACTTGATACAAGCGATTAATTGTTACCAGCTTATTTCTTTATCAGATACTTGAATGGTATTTCAGGAAAACGAATATACAAGGAATGTAAATTGAGGTACACATATAAACATTTTGATAGTGTGACCGTGGTCTTGGCACAAAGTTCCAGGATAAATGGATACTTTGTGGATTGCATGATATTTACTTATCTAGACACAACTACTGGTACGAATGTGCACCTAAATATTCATAAGCCACACACATTATTGAATTTGTGAGTGAACTAGGATACTTACCGGCTGTCTCAACCAAAAAGATGGTTTTCTTAGCGAACTACTACCCGAGCCTTTGATCGAGTGGTCTGATCCACAAGACAGTGGAGCAACCTCAAAAGACGCAGTTTCATGATGCTAATACCCAACTTAGGCTCGTATGTTATTTGTTTCCTCAAGATCCTTGAGCCCATGTACACCACTGATTTGAAACCAATGTTTATCAGCGCCCACAGATCAATCCACCGTACCTAATAACCTGGCTTAAGTGCCAGACATCAGCCCTTCGTCCTCTTAATTTCATGAACAAAACTTGTGGCACGAGAATGCAGTGAGTAAGGTTTCTCTATCAGTGTTTATATAGGTGTGGCCCTTTAAAGGTATTGCGGGAGGGAGAGAGGACTTTCACCATGCTCGACCCTACCAGCGTATTTGAGAGCCCTTTAAAGACTGTCCACCAAGGATCGGTATTTGTACAACTATCTGCCAACTTACTAAGTATTATTAGATTGAGTTGTGTGTGCAAGGTGTAAGAAAGAAGGTTATTTCATGATTTATTTCAAACTGTATTGAAATAGCTATCAGAGAAGATTCGATTGTTCATTTTATTCACTACAGTATGATGGGTTATGTTCGATAAAAAAACATCTCCAGATTAGATTTTAAACCGAAATCTTTTAATCATAATGGATGATAAGTAATTAAAGTGATAATTCCTGCTTTTTGCATGTTTTAAAAACAGTTTACTATATCTTAAGTTTTCTCTTGAAATTGGGATTCACTCTGTAATTATTTTAAGAATACAATTTGAGTATTTATCCCTTAGCCATTTTAATAGCAATAATTCAAGACGAAACCACGAAAAATGACATGATTTAAAATAACAATCTTTTGTCTTGTAATTTCTAACAAACTTTTATTATATGTAGTCAGTAAAATTGAATTTCGTTGAAAAGGCTTTATTTTTTGTCAATTAAAACATGAAAATCAGTCCAGGAAATAATTTCCGGCTCATATAAATATAGAAGGCTTGTTACAATTACTCATAATGAACATTGCTTCTATTAGCAAATCTAAGCAAAATGCAAAATAAAAAGTGTTATACTATCTAGAGCTTCAACTGGAATCTAATTTAACTCTTCACTTAAAAAAATATTTGAACGTCTTTTTGCCGTCACCAATAACTTAGTATGAACGTTTGTGTGAACTGATCAAAACAACACAGAAATAAACGATTAGTATGAGTTCGAAGAAGGAAAAAAATTCTAGTTGCGTGATAAACTAAAACATTTTTGAAGCAGGACATCAAATTGGTGCGTTGTGATCCTTCGAAGTGGCTAGGAAAATATAAGCTAAAGTTGTATCAAATAAACTGAAGCTATAGGCATCGAACATGTAAGTTTGGTTCTTTTGCACAAGAAAATTAATCAAATTTATTTGCCGTAGTATAAAGATTGTTTATTTTATACTTTATTTTTTTGTTTGCATAACTTCACACAACTCCGCCTGTATAACCTTAAGGGCTACTGCCGGTCCCAAGCCCGGATAAAGGAGGAGGGGTTGGACATGGGGTTGGCGACCCCATCCCAACTAAAAACTAACTTGCCAAAAAACGCTAACCATAAAAATTAATTCAAACCATTTTAACTCTGCTCTGGGAGTTGCAAGAAGAATTATGACGTCACGTGATGAAAGCCAAGTTCCCTCGGAAGTCACGAGGCTGATGCCCCTTTTGATAACCAGAGCAACCATTCTTTTAGGCACATGGAACGTTCGTACATTGTGGGAGACTGGAAGACTATTTCAAGTTGCGGCAGAAATGAAAAGATACAACCTCGAGGTGCTCGGCATCAGTGAAACGCATTGGACGCAGGTAGGACGACTGAGACTAGCTTCAGGGGAACTGCTGTTATACTCTGGTTATGAGGAGGGAAATGCTTCACATACACAAGGAGTTGCACTGATGCTGTCCAAACAAGCACAAAAGGCACTGATAAGATGGGAATCTCATGGACCCAGAATCCTCAAAGCATCCTTCAAAACAAAGAAAGAAGACATTACAATGAATGTCATCCAATGCTATGCACCTACCAATGACTACAATGACGACGATAAAGATCAATTCTACGAAAGGCTGCAGTCGATCGTTGACAGATGCTCGTCAAAGGATTTGACCATTCTGATGGGAGACCTAAATGAAAAGGTTGGCATGGACAACATCGGATATGAAGACATCATGGGACGACGTGGACGAGGAGAAAGTAACGAAAACTGTGAGAGATTCGCAAACCCACGTGCCTTCAACAAACTGGTCAACGGTGGCACAATATTCTCACACAAACGCATACACAAAGCTACATGGATTTCACCGGACCACACTACTCAGAACCAGATCGACCATATCTGTATCAATAAAATGTTCAGAAGGACCATGGAGGATGTGAGAACGAAGAGAGGAGCTGACATAGTCTCAGATCACCACTTGCTTGCCGTCAAAGTGAAACTGAAACTAAACAAACACTGGACAACGAGGCAGACAACATCACACAAGTTTAATACAGCCTTTCTTCGAGATACCGTAAAACTCAGCGAATTCAAGATAGCCCTCAGCAATAAGTTCCAGTCCTTGCACGATCTACTCAATGAAGACGACGCAACATTGGAGAACAATTGGAAAGGGATCAAGGAGGCAATCACTTCAACATGTCAGGAGGTCCTGGGTCACAAGAAGCATCATCACAAGGATTGGATCTCTGTTAGTACTCTTGACAAAATTGAAGAAAGGAGGAACAAGAGGGTAGCAATCAATGTTGGCCGAACAAGAGCAGAGAAAGTTTAGGCACAAGCTGAATACATAGAAGCAAACAGGCACGTGAACAAGAACATCAGAGCCGACAAACGAAAATATGTGGATGATCTAGCAATGACAGCGGAAAAGGCTGCCAGAGACGGAAACTTGAAACAATTGTACGACACAACAAATAAGCTCGTTGGAAACCATCGTAAACCAGAACGACCAGTGAAAAGCAAGGAAGACAAAGTAATCAGCAACACTGAAAAACAGCGAAATAGGTGGGTAGAGTACTTTCAAAAACTCTTGAATCGACCAGCTCCACTGAACACACCAAACATGGAAGCAGCATCTACGGACCTCCCAATCGATGTTGGCGCACCTACAATTGAGGAGATCAGCATGGTCATCAGACAAATCGAGAGCGGTAAAGCAGCAGAACCAGACAACATTCCAGCAGAGGCAATGGAAGCAGACGTGGAATCAACTGCAAACATACTTCACAATCTCTTCATCAAGATTCGGGATGAGGAACAAGTACCATCAGATTGGAAAGAAGGATACCTCATCAAAATACCGAAGAAAGGTGATTTTAGCAAGTGTGAGAACTACAGAGGCATCACTCTTCTCTCAGTACCAGGCAAAATCTTCAACAGGGTATTGTTAAACAGAATGGAGGACTTCGTAGACGCCCAACTTCGAGATCAACAGATTGGATTTCGTAAAGATCGATCGTGTACCAGCCAAATTGCTACATTACGGATCATTGTGGAACAATCAATTGAATGGAACTCACCACTCTACATCAACTTCATCGACTACGAGAAAGCATTCGATAGCGTGGATAGCAAAACACTGTGGAGGCTTCTTCGACACTACGGTGTACCTGAGAAAATAGTTAACATCATACGGAATTCTTATGATGGATTAAACTACAAAATCGTGCATGGAGGTCAGCTGACAGACTCGTTCGAGGTGAAGACCAGTGTCAGGTCAACGGCCTATGCTCTATTGGGGGTAACAGGCGTAAGTAGGTAAGCAAGTAATAACTTCACACTACCTTCCACCTTATGTTTATATTGTAGTTTAGTTTTATTATATAAACCTATCTCACCACATCATCTGCTTTTAATAACCTTCAGTTTGTGACCACTAGAAAAATATCGCGAAATTTAAGTCAATCATTTACAACGTAGAATTTCGTACGTACGTACATCAGTTCAAGTCGCCATACCTTATTAGTACAGAGACGCGATTGTCATTTCAAATCCCATAGTTTTTGAGATAGTAGAAGTATTATTGGTAATGGAGAAGATTGAGATTCGAAGACATTATTCAAGAAGTATAATTCAGTGAAAAAAATTTAAAGGGAAAAAGATAGAGGTTATGAGGAATTCAGAAGACTAGAATATTATAGAACACAACTGTGGATGCACCTGTGCCATTGCAAACGATTTTGAGCCATGTCATTCCAGGTCTCCAACTACCGATTGCTATCATCTCACGGACCCCAACCAGGTGGTCTACACTTACAAACAGCTTATCAACAGCATAACTTCAGCATACGGTCGCCATTATCTGATCTTTGAGCCACGACTTCGTAAGACCCACACAAGTGTCTCTTCTTTTCGCTTAGTCTAGCTACCTGAGCATTAAAGTCACCAGCCATTATTTCTATATCAGAACGCTTAACGTTTTGAAAAAGGTTAGAGGGGTTGCTTTAAAAATCATCTTTCGTATCGCCCGAGCTGCAGTCACTGGGCGCGCAGACAGAGACAACAAAGAGGCAGCGGTAAGTTTCCATATCTTTACGAGTCCTTACTGTCCCGTATATTCGGACAAAGTATTAGCAACTGTCTACCGGGATTCAGTTCAAGAGAGCTGGTTCTGCCCTAGGACTCAATACTATACCTACACCAGTGAGGCCATGGGAAGCATCAGGAGGGCTTTCAGATGCAGTAAGCGTAAACCGAGTTGATTCTCTATCTGCACAAGGTGAAATCAAATTAATGCGCGTTTCGTAAACGCAACACACAGCGGTGGGACGGGATTTTAGAGTCCTAGCTAATGAAGCTTGTTGCCCTATTTGACACAAGGCTCGAACATTAAAATCTCCAACATGCAGTTTGAAGTGGGGTTTTAGGAGACCAGGAACAACGTTTTAGGAAATCAAAAAGTTTGAATCAGAGGTGGGAGGTGAAAAAGGAATGAAAGAAGGGTTGTTCGTGGAGAAAAGAGAGTTATTAGATATAGGAAGGACTTGACTGTGACCGATTTGGTCTCGTCTGCTTCTCCGGGTATGAGGGCGATTTTCACTTCCCGTCTGAAAAGGAAGTTGGATTAGTGGTGGTCGTAGAGACCTGGGTGGGCGACGGCCGAAACCAAAGTACAGTTGCTTGAGGCCGGTCACGAACGGCTTTTTAATGGGAAGTTTTTAAATTGTTAGCTCCGTTCCTCAAGTGTCCTTACGGCCAGAAACGGAAATCCGTGAGGTTACTTGAGGTGTGAAATTTTTAGGGTCGACCTTTTCTAACCCTTCCTTCCTTGCGAGAAGGCGGCATCGCTTCAGATGCTGGTTGTCTGAGGGAAACACCTTACTGCTGTCAAATCTCTCTATATTCAGCAGTACGACTTCGTCCTCAGACCTTGAGTTGCTGCTTTTAGTCTCACCGTTCTCCAATCGACCTGCCTGGCATGGTAGAAACTACAGGAACATATGTTCTAGCTAATATAGCTCCATTGGGTCATCACAATAGGCAAGCCAGAGAACTACGTCAAGGAAGCAGCTGAGGTTGGCTTTGTACATGCCCTAGTTGCATCCTAGAAATGTTCTCTGACGTATGGTTGTTGGTCATAACTTGTTGCCAATCCAATCATAGAAAATATTACAATCTTCTTAATTTGTATATAGCAATGATGATCAAGCCGCAACTTATTTTGTGACATTTATTGTCAAACATAAGAAGCCTTTTTCAAAAAAAGCATTTCATTTCCATACAAATCTTTCAAGGAATTACTACTGGTTGTGAGCAGTATTTTAGCTTTTAGTACACAGAGAGTATACAAAAAGATGGTCAGGAAGTTAGAGATTTTGTACCTGAACTACACAAACAGGCGGTGAAATTCAATTTTAATGACTAGTTCAAAATCTAACCTCATGATTGGTTGATATCTGGAATACATATTCCGGAAATGGAAGGAGAACTAATTTGGAAACCTAAAAGTTCATCTCAAGAAATATAAACAGCATGTATTACCGATGAGGTAGTAAACGGAATTGATTTTCATTCAGTAAGAATTTCTGACGCTTTGCTCAGTCTTTAACATGAATTAAAACTTTGAGGTCAAAAAAGCTTGTGTTTAGTTAACAGGAGTTTTCATTCGTGTGGAAATTCGAAAACTGACTCATCAAAGTATTCCGAAAAAATTTACAATGGTGAGCGTAGGTATAGTAAATTTTTATTGCATTATAAATCAAATTAACGTTATTCACATAGATTTTGTCATGCTAAATGCTTGAAGTGTGATAAAATCGGACACATAAACAATGATCATAGATCTGCCGTTCATTCTGCCACTAGAGATTATAGGTAATACAGTTCTGATCTTACTAAGTCAATAGTCACATAACATCCTTATATAAAACTCCGAGTAATTAACTACACATTGGAAAACGATCATATTTGTCATGTGGTTCTTTTAATGATCCTACTGTTGAATCTATTAGTACCAGATCTATTACTTTTTACAGAATGTTGAAGTATTTAAGTCCCAATGCTACTGAAGCTTCCATTCAGAGTATTACTGGTCATATACATCCTATAGTTGAGTGTTTTAATCCACTGATCAGAGATGATAAATTTTTAATCACAACCCCCTTGAATCGCCTACCAGTGATTATGGATCATCTCTCTCGAGGCTTGAGAATTTATGAGTGATTCGAGGATATCTTACCTTATTATCCTGTGACGACAACTTTGATGAAGTGCCTGACAGACTGTCGAATACAGAATCGAAATGAGGAGATTTGTGAATGACTCCAAAACTTTCTCACTCTGACTGCTCAAATGGAAAATAATGGCTTCCTGACAAAAGTATCAATTATATTGCTTCTACAAAATTTGAGGGCCCGGGGAGGAGAGCAAATAAAATCTTGTAGTGCAGCTATTCTAAACCATATACAAAAGAAACAACCTAAAATTCCCCTAAGCAAAACTTGTTCGTCCAGGAATCGATTGTTTACAGTTTGCTAACGGTTAAATACCACCAAGCAACTGACCTTCCACAATCCACGAGAGGTCTGCTAAAGAATATTGATAAATCTGTGGTTTTTAAATATAAGAGCCACACAAAGCATATAGGTTACAAGGACGAAGAAAAGTCCATTCCAATTCCCTTTGGTAATTTTATTAATGATGAGCTTTTTGTGTAATACTAAAACTAACTTTACGGATGAATGAGATACATTCAACTTAACCTCTCAAAAATGTTTGAGCAATTAATAAGGCCACAAAACTTGATTACAGTGTAGAGGATGTGAAGTTTATGAACAAAAGTGATTCTTTTGTAAATTTTTGGTCCGCTCTTAGTTCAGATCCAAGATACTATACTTTCGATTTTGCTTACAGTGTTTTTTTCTGACTTTAATACTGGTTTGTATTTGACTACAAGATTAGTATAGAAAATACGCGTACTTTTGGATATCGTAAATTTAGGAATATTTATTTACGATACAGTTTAGCGAGCTCCGTGCTGAGACAGAGATATGACTTTGATCATTTAATTCTGGGATTTTAATCAAAAGTATCAAAGGTGACTTTGTAACACAAAAGAATCAAATTATCTAAATGTTAATTTGTCTACAAAAGAGGGTTCTAAAAACAAATAACATCACATCTAAAGTATAATTCAAAATGACATACTTTGAAATATAATAGGCGAATTCGGTTGATCTGCCTGCTAGCGGAAATATTAATGCAAAAGTCCTGCATAAATGAAACGACAATCATTGAAGCTCCCAAAATAGCAAACCATTTTACAGACCCGTATACGTTTTGTGCAACAACGTCCCCTTCAGTAAATTCGTTCACAACTCCTCGGAAAATAAATATGTTAAGTGGAACTGCGGCGCCAACTGCTACAGCGCAAATGCACGCTACAACTAGCGCACATATATCTGTCTTACTAGCATATCGAAACTAAATAATGTAATAAGAGATTGTATTTTAATTCATTACCAGGCCAAAGAATGAAACTTTCGGATGTACACTTTGTCCACTTAAGGTAATGAGAACTGAATCTTCACAAACTTACATTTTACCAGTACGCTTTGCCTTACACCGACATTTCATGATGATAAATGAATGTTTCCTCAAAAAGAACTTGATATTTTGGTGCACTTAAACAAATCACACTTTGTGTTGGAGTCGAGAAAAATAAAGTGAAAACTAAAGAAATTGACAGTAACCAACTGCTTTTAAATTTTTTATTGTTTGAATTTTCTCAGTAGAATGGCTTAACTTAGTTTTCGACGTACCTCTAATATCCAATATCTTTTTCACGAGCTGGTATAAACTAGTTGATTTCTTTGCGCCCGATTCTTGTTCTTTCGGTTAGGCTCCAGGTGTTTGGTAGTGTCCAATGAATGGAGGTCTAGCCACTTCACTGTCTAATTCTAGTCAGTTGTCCGTTGGTTGTTAATCCGTGATTTGAATGAATACGTTCGTTTCAGGGCAGTAGTTTTTCTGGATACCAGCAGCCATCACATTACCAGACTGGAGATAAGTAGGCTGCATTGTCGATACTAATAAGGAAGACATTATAATGCTAATAAGAGGATTTCAGAACTGAGTAAATAAATAGATAATTTAGCTAATGAATTGGTGGTTAAGATTGTGAGAGGGGACAGAAGTGTAAGCAAGGGAGAGGAAACAGAGATAGTACGCTAAATAAGTCAAGTTAGCGAACTGAGGAGATGACATTAATAGCGTCTAGCAAGTCTCAGGGTATGAATCAGGCACAGTTTGTCCACGAGTGAGATGATAATCCGTATGAGTATGTGTTTATTAAATCTCTTCTTAAAGCTGTCCAATGAGGGGGCTGTGGTCACCTCGGCTGGGAGAGCACTTCAAGTTGCAACGACTCTAAATGAGTGATAGCACCAAGTTGTCTTTGCATAAAGTTAACAGACACATTTGCCTTGACTGCGCCCGCTATATAGTTCGGATTAATGTGGAGGCTTCCCGTGGTTATTAATCCAAGATCGCGCTCTGTATGAGAGTTTATTGGGTGCAAGTAAAACATCGTTATGGTAGAAACACCGCTTATTTCTGGCCGAGGATGGAGTTCAATATGAAGACTACTACAGTTAGTATTGTGTTGAATGCTATACTATAAGTGGCTTATCAGTATTATGAAGCGGACTGGTGCCCAGAATTTAATGCTAAGGCAAAGAGCGTCTGATAGGGATGTATTGCACAGTCAAAGTTTTCAGAAGATTAGACTATCTATGGAAAAAATCGAATAGTTTGCTTGTTTTGTGAATGTGAGTTCAAAGATGAGCGGTAAATATTTCGATGGTGAATTTTCTCCTTAAAAAACCATTGATTCATTCAGGTCTTAAGAATTCGTTCGAAACTGGAATTAGTAAACGATCAATTGTGAATGTGAGGCAGAGAATAACGATCGAGTGTGGTTTTTGTAATCACTCGCCGACAATCACCGGCCGGACGCCAGTTAGGGACCATATATAACGGGGATTGCGTGAGCTGTTTAATTGTAGGATAGTCTCTGAATCTATCTTCTCAGGAGCTAGTCGGTGTACTTTCGAGGGTAGTGGTGGTCCTGTAGTCCTGTCCTGCTTGGTACAGTTTCGAGTACCTGTTGAGTATTGGTCAATTGTGTGTTTTACCCTGACTGGGTATGACTTAAAACCATGTGATGCAGCTCCACAAATAGATAATATAATATTGTTGTCTGCTAACCTCCGTTCGGTTGGGTCAACGAACAGTTTATGGTGTTGCAGAAGATTGGTACCAACCACTGGTATAGACACATATGCCTCAACGAAAATACAGTGAGTGGGTTTACGTAAACCCACGTTGAGGCAATAATAATACGAATAGTATTTATTCTCAAAAAACAGTGTGTTACGTTTACAAACAAGGCCAAACTGTTAGAAATGCTTCAACACTTACTGTAGTATGTTGCTTAGTTAATTTATTAATAATATTATTTTTCAGAAATGAACAGTTTGATAAACTGACATTTCCCACAAGTGATCACAAGTAGGGTAGGTACGCCCGCAGAGTTTATGGATGACTTATATAATTCAGGAATGACTCATGAGATGTCCTTTAAAAAGATTTACTTGGAGAGTATTTGTGCAGTGGAATATGTTCATGAGTCCAGAGTTTGAAGAGAGTGTTAACTACAAAGAGCTTGAAATTAGTTATGACTTTCACTACTGTTTACACAATGTGTATTTGGTGTAGAAATACTTCCATGGTTGTTCACTACAGATAGGGGTTGGAAAAGAAATGAAAGAGTAAGGGAAAAAAGAGCTACGAGGAACTACGATGCATGACTAGAACATTCGTGAACTGTTAATGGTGAAGGAGACAATGTAATTGTATCCACTAAATACAGCTCATATAGGATGATAAAATCAAAATAAATTATAGTAATATGGTCTTCAAATTAGGGAGTACAGCATTAAAGAATAACGGGTAGTGGTGCGCAAACGAAGATTTTACAGTAAATATAGAAAAGATTTCCATCTGCACCTGATAACTGGGTTCACTGCTTTTCATAATCTACATCAACAGTATATGCAGTTGTTTCAATATTGACAAAACATACCTCTATGCTGATGACCTAAAAGTGATTTATAAAACTAACGAATCTGACTTGGGAAATTTGTTGAATACAATCCAGCATGAACTCAATACTGTAGATGTCTGGTGTAAGCAATGGAACCTAGAACTGAATACTGAGAAATGTGGCTGGATGTGTTTGGAGACACGTCTTCTAAAATTGGTCTCACTCTAAACAAAAATGTACTGCCCAAACTCACATCTGTAACTGATCTTGTAGTTCATTATTCGCACAGCCTTAACTTCTCTGAACATATATACAATAAAGTTTCCCGAATGAGAAGACTGCTTAGTTTCATCTTTCGTAAATTCCTTCATACAGAATTCAGAAGGATTCTCAACAAAACATGCCTAAGAGCTATTGCTGAATACTGCAATTTCTTGTTTTTCAAATTACGCCTGTCTGTTATATTGAAGCTTGAAGGAATAAAAAGGAACTTTACTCGAAAATTCCTATATCACGGCTCACACATTGACAAAACCATGAACTTGGGCTTGATCCATTATGGAGAAGAAGGTATAAGTTCAATCTAATACTTTGCTTTAAACTTCCTTTTCAGAACCACATTCACGGTGGGAAATCCTTGGCGCCTCTAGGTAACATGCATCTATGTACATGACTATCTGGATCACAGCTCATATCAAGCGCGTTCTAATTGACCTTCCCCAACAATTTCACTATTGATCTCGGCAAACCGCCAAAAGAACTTATTGTGCACCTCCCTTATTTGTAATCTACTATTGAAAATGTGGCTGTATTATACTGTTTCTATCAGTGACATGGTGTAAATATGCTATCAGAAACTGACTCTTATACTTAATTTAACTGCTATAAATTTTGCAGTAAATGTGAAAGCATTTGAGACAGTTTGATCGAGCCTGTAAAGTGGCGTGACTCTTGTAACGTAGTTATTTGAGAATAAATATTATTATTATGATGATACTATGACGGACGTGGCTAGCCAAGCAATGAACATTGTTGAAACTGACGAAAATTGAAAGTCTACCGAAGATGCTTACTGACTATTATCGCTAAATCTATGCTCCAAGCGAATTTCAATATTCCCGAAGTTAATATTTTGTCTCCTCATTTCCAACTGTATTAACTTTCCCACTCATTCTTGCCCTCTTACGGAGAAGGGCGTGAATGTACCCCTTAAGTCATGGTGTGAAATTGCCTGAATGCCTTGGTATAGTGCAAAGAATGTGCAGTGAAGTAACTTTAATGTATAGATTTCTGAATACCACCTGAGCGGTTTCAATAGAGGATTGTGTTTCTATTTTCTAGTCTGATGAGGCTTCTGAGCGTGTGATTTCTTGTGTATTTGCGCACCAAATATTTGGTCTTGCCTCGGCTAACACATTGTTGCTGATATCTGTATGCAAAGCAAAGACTAGTACTATGTGGCCACGTTTACCTAGTGGTTGATAGTAGTAATAATAGTATTAATAATTTGAGATAAGCTTCCTTTCGTAACTAGACACTATCTCCGGTTGCTTGGTCACAGACTACCTATTGTTTCTCATGTTTATGATGAACTGGATAGATCATATCCATACACTTACTTCAGAAGGACCTGTAACGTTCCAGCGCATTTCCTGTGCCAAGATTGCAACATATTTTCTTCTGTAATAATGAACGTCAAATCTCCAGGTGTATCCAACGGTAGCCGTGATTTTACCTCGGTGCTATTCACGGTATAAATTCTAGAATCCATTTAGAAGGCTTTGTTTTGGGAAAATCCCTCCATGTACATATTTGTAATTTGCTCTTACTGACTCTCATTGTGCTACATTTTGGTACTCTGTTTAATCCCATTTTGTGATGTTAATATTTGTATTTCGTTATAGTTTCTATTTTTGTACCTTTGTTGGAGTTTCTATATTTTCTACTGAACTGTATTATGTCGTTTAAGTTGATACTTAATTATGGTGTCAGCCATATCGGATTTGATACCCTGGTGGGTGAAATGCACGTCTGGACTGGAAGGGTGCGATTTTAGACCTAAACGGAAGTATTCTTCCAGAATCGGAAACACATTGAGTTAATTTTGACGGAGAACAGTGTAATATTAACCGTTTCTTACCCAGATAAATTGCTTTCTTTTAGGATAACCTGGGCAACGCGCGAATCTAAACTTTCAGGACTGTTCTTCCGAATTCAGAAACCATTCTGAAACTTACAGTTCTAAACAATATTGAAGAAGACGAATATTTTGGTTATCCCAGCTCAGCAGTAAGTCAAGAAGGCGGAACCATTGAATTCTGAATTCTGATCAATATTTGGAAGATTGGAGTTTAAAACCCTATGCAATATCACTAATTTGGAGTTTCTTTTTCCTGAATTGCGGGTGTTACAATGAATTCTCGTAAGAAGAAACCAAGCTGAAGTCTGGTTGGAAGCCATGAAGACAAACAGAACTACGAATCCTTTGTTACAAAGCAAGTTCCTTATACCTTTTTAATTTAAATGGTTCACTCTCAGATA